AACATCTGATTGAGATCAGGATGCATCAATTTAAAAATTGTCCACTACATCACAGTTCCATTTTTGTATGAAAATTCCTCCAACATTTTATTGGAACCTGTGTATATATTATACTTCAAATTTGAGGTAATATATTTTGTCTAGAGACAAGACTTGGGTGCTCTGTACCTAGTTTAAAATGTAATAGTGTGGAGACTTGATAGAATAACATCTTTGGAAATACCTGTTGTACTAAGTGATGTCTCTAGCTACCCAACAACATGATGACATAACATGAATTAAAATCATGTTTCCTTAAGCTGTATTTTTTTTAAATGATACTAACTGAAAATCATGTCTAAAAATATAAACTGTATTAAAGCACCAGGCTGAGTTTCTAACTGCAGCCTCTTCACTGGCAAATTATGCAGTTATATGGTTGAAACCATAATCTGATTTTACAAACATACTTTGTGGAAATAATGTTTAAAGAATTCCCTGGATTGTCACTAAGCAAAAAGTTGTCTGCTGATGTTCAATTGAACTAAACCTGAAATAAATTAATATATTAATGAACTTTTCCCTGTTGTTTCCAGTACACTGAACACATTACAGGTATGTGTCCTTTAAGGTGATGTGCTGATTGGCACACTTTGTGATTATCTGGCACTGCCTAAGCCTCTTCAGTCTTTCAGCAGAAGTTTAGTTTTGCTATTGTAGAAATAGCAATAATCTCACTTAGGTAAGTGTGTTGGTAGGGATGATAGTTACTGGACAATCTCAGCTGGAGATGAAGAGTATCATTAGCCAATGGAGCATGTCAGGGGAAAAAAGAATCATGCCCCAGACAGTGACTCAGCCACCTGTGTTCCCATTGTGAAGTCCCTCTTGTTTTGACCAGTTCAATGTCTCAACATTCTCCGCTCTGTGGAGAGAACTGAGACTTGTCACTTTTGTTCCAAGCTCTGACCACATATAATGTGGTGGAAAGAACTATTAATTTTGTACAGAATTGGAGACCAGAGCGAAACTCATGGCATTTAAGGACTCTAGTGAGTAACACAGGTAGTTCTGAAAGCAGAAGTGACAGCTACAACAATCAAAGTTGCCACATCCTGTCTCATCTTGGCCAGGAGGAATTGCCAGGAGACATACAGCAGCTTTCTTGACCAAAGTATCAGTACCATCCATCCTGAAGCCAAACCAGATCTGTATCACAAGCCTTAGCAAGCCCTGCTGATATTTGAAGCAGTATGATCTCAACGTAATTGCAGTCCTGGAAGATGGCTCCTGAGGCAATTGTTTCTCATTCATCAGGTAGGAATCTCATGGTTCATCTACCATTTTGCTCAAGGCTTTGAGCAAGTAAAGACCATGAAGATTGCACCTGATGCTTGGTGTACCTGGCTTGTAAGATACACCACTTCGATGCAGAAGGAGCCTCTCTTCCCCCTCCCCTTATTTCCTTTTTGATACATGTTACAGTGGAAAGACTCACCACAGCCTGTATACAATGGTCATGACTGCATGGCTTGAAGACTTGATGGCAATGAGGAAAATATATTCTAATGTGAAGTCTACATACATCACAGAAGACACACAAATCCAGCCAGCCATTTGATTCAGGACAATCAGACACTCATCTGAGTGTCAGGATGCAAGCAAAGATGCCTCAGGATCTTTAGTAAAAGACTGCAAACAATCTGACTGAAGACAGGCTCTGGCACAGGGGAAAGCCACAAGGGAAAGCCCTGTGTGTTACATATGAGCAGACAGGGAAACATCATCACCTTCACACTTTAGTACTAGTTATAAAATCCTGAAAGAAGCCACTGCAGTGTCAAACAATTCATGTTAAATATTTTATTTCTTATGATTTACAAAAATTACATACAAAATTGACAGTCTTTCATACCAAAGTTAAATAAAATAAGATGAAGCAATTAAAAGTAATCCATTTTGTTAATTCCCTCACAGAAAAACATTACCATATGAACATTCAAAAGTATTAAACTGTGACCCTTATATTCACATTCAAGGACAAAAATATTTAAATAGTGAATAATTTTAATGAGCACAATAGTACAAATAAATACAGCAGCACTATGCAAAAAATTCATTACAGTCCCTATCAATGAATAACAATGGCAATAAAAACCTGTCTGCCATAATGCTGCTTAAAGTTTAAAGTTCAAATATTGTCAAACAGCTGAATTTGATCTGCAGGTCACCAAGTGCAGAAGCTCCGCTGAACTATCACACAAGACCAAGGAAAAAGTTTGTTACAAGGTGGAATACCTGAAAGCCCAAGCCCTCATGCAAGCACGAGCAAAGAATAATAACTTTCTTTTTCACAGGGCTAAGACCCAGCATCACTAAATACATCTGGGCTTGTTTTTTTCTGTTATGTACAATACAGAGAGATTTCCCCTATCTCTCCTGGGAAGAGGCTGGGGAAACAAGCAAGGTTCCAGCAACATCCATGGATAGTGGCATCACAATTTACACTCTTTATAGAACTACAGTCCTACAAAATAAGCTCACTGAAAGTTTGCCTTTATATATAGAAATAAAGCATACCATCTACTATTTGCAATTATTGATTTCATTAGATTTTGCTCCCCTTGTAAACAGATGTTGCAACCAAAGCTTATCTGACACTTCTACAAGTATTTGGTATGAACATGACATTAAAAAAGCGTTTAAGAGCAGAACAAGATTTTCTGTTTTCTGCTTTTATTTTTTTTTAATCTTGGTTAGTAGTTCCTCTCAAAAAAATCTGATGTTCATGTTTCCTGCAGCTCTAGTTTACATTTCCCCACCAAGAATGGCAAGGATCTGCAAAAGTACAGCCACGAAATACTTTCCTTGCTTAGTATTTTCTAGCTTGAAAAGTAACTACAACTTACTCTTGTTTAGAATGAATTTGAAACTATTGTTCACTTCAGTTTTTACTCTTGTTCAAGTAGCATTAGATGCTTCTTTCCTACATGAAGGTTCCAACATTCTTTTAAATCTGGAAGAGACACAGCCTTGAATACAAAACAAACATTCAACACCTGGAGTGCAAGAGTAGCAGAACATCATCTGCAGTCTTAATATTCTAGCTAACCATGCAGGAATACACAATCTGCTTTTCACCCCTTCATGCTGCTGTAAAGAGAAGATTCTTTCAGTCATAAGAACATGACCACAAAGTTCAGAAGGCTTACCTAAAGCCAGGATGAAAAGCTAGGAATTAAGGACAATCCAGGAATTAATCACATGAGTTTAATGCAGTATTTTAAAATATTATTAAAGGTTTTCTTTACATCTTGTGCGTGTAGTGCAGCAATGCTGTCCTTCCATGTTATGGATACAAATGCCACTTACGATCTGAGAGTAACATAGTAATTAGCATTTTCTATTTAACTTGACCATTTAAATACCCTTAAGTTCTTCTTGTCATGGAAAACACCGACTGAAGTGCAAGTGTTCACTTAACACCATTTTATAAGCAATTATTTTATACGCAATGAATTTTAATCACTCAACAATGCAGGAAATATTTTTGCCCACAGAATTTACAAAAGCACTAAAAAGTAAAAGGCTGAGGATCATCTCAAAATGTGAGGCAAAGAATGCATTTATAACCAAGCAGCACGAACAGTAGTGGGTTTAGGTCTCTGCAATGCCCCACTGGCTGAATCAGGTATGGGTTTTTCATTCCTCTGGCTCATTGTAGTTGGTACAGCGGATGCTCTTGAATAGGATGCTCCTGTTAACACACACACACACAAAGACTATGAGAATGCTTATGCTTAGTACAACAGAAAATTTCATGCTATATTAGTACTGCTACGCTCATTACCATAGTTTCCAGAAAAAAAAAACAAAACATCAATAAATCTGAGTAAGTTGAATACAAACCCAAAACATTATGAGCTGTTCATAAATGCTAAGGACAAAGAATTCAAGCCCATGCCACAGTGCTGTAGTTCTTTAACCCAACACATGTATGGCTCTATGGGGACACATAATCTACTTCCAACTATTACACAGACAATTTCTGAGAGAAACAAGGCTACTGTCAGTAGATTCACTGAATGAGAATTTGAATCTTCTTTGGGGTTTTTGTGTTGGGTTTCCCCCCCCACTTCTGTTCTCCTGTCAATAAATGCTATTGGCAAAATGAGACCTTCTTGGAAAAGATGATTAACAAGATCATTTCTTAGAAATTTAGCATGGTAAGTAAACAATGCATATGGTCATCGTACTTTTGGTATGACTAAAAAAAATTCATGTTAAAGATTTCTGTAATAAATGATCAGTCTAAGGAAGAGAAAGGAACTTATATGCTATTCCTAGCAGTAAGTGCTTCACAATTCTGAATTATAAAAAGATAAACACATGCAAAGAAATGCAAGAATCTGCAACTTTCAAGTACTTACTTAAAGGACTAAGATGGCTGAAAGCAGATTTTCCTCTTCTTACAGAAGGAGAAGAACCTATGTAACTCATCTGGCGCTGATAGTCCAGCAGTTGTTCATTACGCCTCATACCAGGTGTTGGTTTCACCGCTTCCAGTCTTTTCAGGAGTGCCTTAGTATCAAAGAAAAATATCATCAAGAAAGAGAAAGAATGAACATGAAGCTACAGAAACAAACATTCACAAATACATTTTTATGTGAACTGCAAAACTCCCCCCCGATTTTTACAACTGCACAACATGAACTCCTCCACTGTGACAACCACGGGCTATTCTGCTTGCATTCAATTATTTTCTCAGTATTATGACACAAACAGTAACTATCCCTTACATATCAATTCTATGTTGAGTACATCTTTAGTACCCCGTAGTTCTTTCTACTTTACTGTAACTTGAAACGCATCTGTTTCCAGTCAAGCTGGGGAGAAACTGGGCTGCACTCTCATAATCCCACCTTTGGTTACTTCTCTTCTAAACTTCCAGAAGGACAAGAAGTTGTTGGGGGTTTTTTTAAACAAATCTTTGCTTTGCAAACTAGTTAGACTGTTTTATATTGCCTTAGATCCCCAGAGAGAATTACTGACTCAGTTCTGTGAAAGTAATGTCAAAAGGAAAGCACAAACATACAGAGGACACTCTTTATTTTATCCATAATGTAATTCTAAGGGTTGAAAATTAGTTGAAACCATTGTTACAGACATCATTTCTTCTTGTTGAAATTAACCCCGGCAATCATGCAGCAGCATTAAATTAGAACTGTCATTACCCAATATTTGTGAAATACAGTTTCTCATTCTGTGTAACTACATCTACTTGAAACAGGATTTATCAGTTTTAGGAATTCCATAATCCAAGAAAAAAAAAAAACCAACTAAACACAAACAAACAAACAAAAAACAAACCAAAAAACCAAAACCAATTCAACAAACCAGACCAGACCAAACCAAACCACAAAACCCACCCCCAAACTGATGGCAGGACAGATTTGGAAGTACCCACATACAACTTCACACACATTTTGCTTCCAGTAATTGCCTCACATAAATCTACAAATCAATTCATCTGATGGCCTTCAAACATTAGGCAATGACCAAACCATTCCTGTTCAAGGTTATGACATGCATCCTACCAAAGGCAGACAATGCAAACTGTGATTATGTAAGTCTCCAAAGTACTAAAAATAACTCTGTTAGTAAGGATGTATGGTCTAGATGCATACTTATATGGTAGAAGTCAAGAATCTGTCTGTATAGCCATAAAACTGCACTTTGTATGATCATTCTTCCCCACTCCCAGTCAGGACCGATGGGTTTTTTTTAAAAGAATAAAAATAAATAATGGAAAGTGACTTAAGATACAGTATAGTATTCACAGGATGTCTTCGTCCAGCTGTAACAGGAATCTACAAACTCTTGATAGTTTATGCACGGGCACTGAGAAACGACAAGTGATTTTGGCTCAGACATAATATGTCACAAGTGCTCGTACCAAGTGACAGTCAGTTCATCATCAAGTGGAAATACCGACATAAGCAAAAGTCAAAGGAAGGACTTCAGCTAGAAATAGCTCTTCACTAAAGCCAGCTGCAGAACATGAAATGGTAGACTTGACTCTAAATGTTACATCAAACATTTTACTCAACTGCAGCCGCATTTCCTAATACAACTACATACATATAGACTTGCAGATATCACTTATTTTCCTTCAGTATTAGAAATGGAAGCTCTCTACACGGTCAGTTCAAATGGATTGGGTAAATCATAGAAGTGACATCCCTACGAGAATCGAGCATGTTTCAACTCTGCACTCCAACTGTAACTGCCTTATAGAATTTGCTCACCTTAACACTGCAGTGATTTCAAGCTTGATCCTAAACATACTATATATATATATGTGTGTGTGTGTATATATAGATATAAGTATATGTGTGTGTATATATATATATATATATATATATGTGCCTACTTTATTCTAGTTTAAATACAATTCTCTGCCTTTGCTTTTATGCTTGTATTTTGACAGGTACCAACCCATTACCAAAGCAAAAAGAGAGACTTCTTTAGCACTACAATATTACTTTCTGAACAGGTTACACTGCACTTGATACAGCCCTGAGCTATGGAAAGAACAGATACAGATTCTGTAGTGCAGAAGTGTTCTAAGAAAAGCTCTTCTAAAGAATGAGAGAACAGCTCCTGTGGTTCCCTTGCCCGCTGCTGTGAGTTGTACCAAGGGCATGTTACATTACATGCTATTTGCAGTTGTGAATTTTGCAGTTTGGAGAATAGCCTGCTGTATACAAAAATGAACTCATCAACACATTAAAATGGCAGTCCTGACCTACTCTATCTATAACCCAGAATTAATTTGATTGTTATGTTTTTATTACCAATCCTACAGTCTTGAGGTCCTTAACAGAGAAACTATCTTGTACAATGGTACAAGTACCTTGAACAAATGTTCTTTTTCAATTATTCATATAAATCTACTAATTCTTTCATTATGTTCTACTTTTGAGAAATGGACTGAAGAACATTGCCAGTCTTCTTGTTCTTTTGAAGCGCTAAATCTCTGGAGCCCTACTCCTGCATCAGTAAAGTAAATAGAAATTTCGTCATTGATCTTAATGACCACGAATCAAATCACATTAACATTATCCAGGTGTTTGGAACCAAATATATATTCCCAATCAGATTTAAAGAATAAGGAACAAAAAAAAAAGGAAAGAAAAAGAAAAAAGAAGAGTAACAGACACTAGTGGACTAATGGCAGGAATGTCATTAGTTGCTCTAACCTGTATTGTAGCTCCTCAGAGCTCTTGACTGAAGTCAATACATATATAATATCCTATCACTGATGACCATCCAGCTTGACAAAAGCCTCCCAAGCCTTCTCTTTTCCCTATCCTCTTTTACTTTATTATAATAGTTTACATTAAAAGTAGAATAATATAAACAAGGGGGGGGAGGGAGGAGAATCACAGGTATTCCCACATTACTACCTTCTAGGAATGGGATAATCCTCTATAAATCTAGGCATCTGGACATAGATTACTATCTAGAAAGACACTAAAATACATACTGTCAGTGACAGAGGAAACATCAGATTGCCAACAACTGGAGAACAAAGGAACCTGGCACTGTAGCAAAAGATTGCTACTATACAGGAGGACACAAAAAATGCTACTAATTCAAATTTTGGACATATCAGGAGAGTACTTATGCCAACTTTAACACTCTCAGTCAGAAAAGGCGGGGGGGGGGGGGAGGGGAATGGGGACACAGGTTTACTTCTTTTATTCTTTAGTGAGTGTTTGAGAAGCTACATTGAAAAAAAAAAAAAAAAAAAAAACCACTGAAAATCCAGTACTCCTACATTGAGTTTGGAGAGAAGGTAAAACAACATTACTTTTTCTTGGTTAACTTTGCTTTTTCAATGCATGAAGGCTCCAGTTTCACCTCCTTTGAATCCTAACCAGCTGACCAGTGTGCCCTGACAGCTGTTCAAATTTATTTATATTATGCCTCCTCTAATGTCACTGATGTTAGTGACCACACTATCCCTTTGCGGAGTCCAGGTGGGGGAGGGGGAAGGAGATAACAGTGCATTCAAGAACAGCTTTCTGTTCTTATCAGTACAAGTATTGGTCATTTTCTTCAACCGCCAGTTACATTAATTAGCTCTAACCTGACAAATTCAAAATGACAAAAAACTCCTGAAGTTCTTCAATCTACAGGAAAGTCTTTTTAACTGAACAGTTATCAGGTTTTCCTGGCATCACCACAGGGGAAGCAGCCTAAGAGTACAGTGTGCAAGTAATAAAAATTTTCCTTGAACTGCCCATCAGCCTTTATTACAATTACCACAGCAGTGTTCAGGAGTCTCCTCTGGGTCAGGAATCAGCAGACCACAAAAAGACCTGACCATTAAATCAAGTGGAGGCAAATGAATGCACATTCATTTACAGCAACACAGGACCTGCATTTGTAAAGGCGGTTCAGGTTTTCCAGCAAGACAAAACACAGACTGCAAGAGATAGAACAGAGTTTTGCTGAAGGGTTTTTGTGCTGGTAAAGGCCACATCAAATAGAGCAAGTGGTGGGGGGAAGCACTGATGACCCCTGCAGCACAGATGGCTTCAGGAACCAACTAGGTGAAAAGAGAGACAGCCCTGGCAGAGAAACACTGTAAGTGGTTACTTTTATTTGTGAGGGAAGGTGACTATACTGGAATTGGGATCATAGTTGGATCTGTGGAGCTTAGGGTACCTTTTAGGCGAGTATGCAATGAGGGAATGAATGCACAGGGATGCAAAGGAAGACCAAATATCCACAAAAGGAGAGAATATAGTCATCCCCTTTGATCTAAAGTTTGAGAACTGCTGTCCCTGACCTGACAAGAACCTCCAGTGTTAACTCAAAAAGGTCACTTGTTCCCTAGGAACTTGGCTGAACACAGCAGTTTAGCTCACTGAGGTCATCTAACACCTAAATCCTAGTCAGAATTAAGAAAAATGAGGAAAAAACAACCCTGTAAAAAAATAGCACGGATATTAGTTACTTCTAAGTTTATCTAAAGTGACTGAAGAATGGTGCGGTGGCTGCAAATTTGTATTGCAAGGTCCCCAAATACTTACCTGTATATACCAGTACAGATTTTTGCACCACACAAGAAACCATTAAAAGCTTAAATGGTGTGTAGTGTCCAGTCTATGAAGTTGAGCATCCTATTTATACTGGCAGAAATAATTAATATGTCAGCACAGATAGACACACATATATGCACACATGGGAAAAGAAAAAAGTATCAGTCACACTTCTGTCCCTTTCCACTGGAGAGGAGACAGGGTTGAGAGTATCTTCAAACACTCAAGTCATGCTAGCTCAGATAAGCAATTAGAAGCAGGTTCCCCTTATGAAAGCACAGAGTCAAAAGCAGCAAGTACAAAATTCTGACATTAATTTTAGCAGTGATCAATTTTGCTAATTGTGCTTTTTCCATACATTGCTAGTCACTACCTTATAACTACTGCTCTTCAGAGCAAGGCGTCTTTTTATGCCATCATAACTTTTTCTAGCAGAGTCTGCGGGAGCAAGGTATATTCCCCCTGTACCTCTATGCACCCTTCCATAGACCTACCACTATTCCTCTCTAATTTCCTAATATTTATTTTAATTACTTCCACTGCAAAGCCCCTGATGCTAAATGCCTGCACCAGAAATCATGCTGTCTTTCTGGTAACAGTAAATACAGGCATTACTCCAAGAATATTCTAGTGAGAAAGTTTTCCCTAGACAAGGTGGTAATCTTAGGACAAGAAGTTATAAAAGCTATAATCAGACGAAAAAATAAAATAAAATCCATCTCTGCATCAAAACTCTTTATCCCCCTGCACAGAGTATTGTTGTACATTTGTACTATTGAATTACTTACAAAACCCTGCAACCTTCTCTAACAAACATTTCACAAAGGTGTATCAAGCAGCAAGTCCTGTACGCAGTACCTTGGACCTTGTAGAGAAAAAAAAATTCCTGCCAAGTAATAGAAGATTGCTAAGGAAGTTCCATGGAACTCCAGCTCTTCAATCCACAAAGGTGAAGAAAGCTGCTGACCAGAACAACACGTTCATAAAGCACATACTTTTAGCTATATAAAGCAAAACCCCTCATCAATAGGCAGGATAGGGCAGCTCTTTTCTTTGCAGTCTCTGAGAAAGCATGTCATACTTGTACTCCCAAGTAGTGCTAGAAAATCAGTTTGTTAGAACTGTGATGCTTTAGGTGCACATACACTTCAAACAGAATAAAAAAGTAAACAGAATTGCTCAAAAGTGATAACAATGTTAAAGAAAACACACGCTTCCAAAGAGAGCAGTATCTATCATCCTGCGTTGGGGGAGAAGAGTAAACCAAATGTTTTTATAGTCTAAAATAGCACCATGTCTTAACATAAATTCTAAGGAACTACTCTGATACCAAACATGTCCGCTCATACTGCTGACGACAACAACTAACGCATAAACGAACAAGTTAATGAAGGATATTATTTCTAGGACTACAAGCAACCACCTTTCATCTCTAACATGTACTGGAACAGCAACATGTGAAATATCAATGTATCTCTTTAGGTTTGCTGAATTTTTGATCTGAAGGCTGCAAAGGTGAGACATTCTTGGACAAACATTGCAATATGTCATAAAAGAAAAGGTTTGTACACTTCTGTTTACCGAAAGACATTGTAAAATATCATATACATTAATTTACAGTGATTATTTATTATGTAGCATAGCATACTACTAAGCAACTGTGACACAGCTCTTCCTCCCCATAGATTAAGAGTACACTCTTACTACCAAAGTTCACATGGAAGAACAAATCCTGCTTTCAACATTTTAAACAAACAAAACAACCACTGAAAAAAGCCCCAACCCCACAATACAACAGGAAAGCCCTCCTACTAACCTCAACACACCAAAGCCTAAAGGCATTTCTTCCCCAGACAATAAGAAGTATAGCACATCTGAAACAAGTGTTTATGCCAAATTATTTCACTGTGTGAAGTATAATGTTATTTTGGCCAATCCTAGTCTAGTGGAGCTGGGGAGAAAGTTTTAACAATCCAGATGCCTGAAAGCTGGAAGAACTAAAACCTAATGGATTTTCCCGAATAGGCTGATTATACTTTCCCCATACTGACTCAGGACCTGTCTATCCACATAAAAGGAAATTGGAACTTACACATGAAAAAAAAAAAAAAAAATTAATAAACCACTTCCACTCTAAGTTTCCCAAATATTTTAACTATATTTTAATCTCCTTTTCAAAGACAGTAATGAACAACCAGGAGACATGAAAATGACCATCCCTGGCAGTGTTCAAGGCCAGGCTGGATGGAGTTTCGGGTGACATGGTTTAGTGCAAGGTGTCTCTGTCCATGGCAAGAGGGTTAGAACTAAAAGATCTTAAGGTCCTTTCCAAACCAAACTATTCTGTGATTCTATGATTACAGTTCAATCACTAAAAATCTTACTCAAACCAGTACTGGTTTTTAATTTGACAACTCTGCCAATATCCTTATAAAAGAGTCTGAATTTCTGTTTCCCACTAAAGTTATTGTGATTGCCCTTATGTTCAAACACTATGACAAGCAGAGTGCTACAAATATGGAAAGAGACAGATAGCTACAAAATGAGTCAAAACCCAAAACTGACTTTCATATTGTATCCTCTCCATTTCAAATATAATGGGTTTGATGCTATCATATTGACTGCGATATTTTTTGCAAGACTGTTCTTGAGAAACTAGTAATCATGATGCATGAAGCAGGATGAATAGTCAGACCGCTATCCAAAGTTATGAGCACGTTAACAGTAACGGTTGTTATGTTCCTCTTAAATTGAGTGACACTGAAGCAAACTCATATAAACTAAAAACTACTTTCATCTTAAAAAAGCATCATTCCTCTCCCCCAAAAAACATGTGAACAATCATGCAAACAGCATAGTAACAGAAATTCACTGCAGACTTACTAAACTAAAGCTCCAAGTGCTGCCTTACCAGTTTTGTAAGTATTCAGCAGTAGTCTGACAACAAACAGTCCTCTATTTACTGATCCAAATCAGTTCTCAAAACTCACCAGGTTCTCTCTTTCAATTCTTTGCTGCTCCTTTTGCCTGTTGAGGGCACTGTGGTACAATTTAGGAGGAGGTAAAGACGGCTTCTTCAATGGGGTACTTCTTCTTGGCTTTGCAGACTGTCTGGACAGTTCTTTTAGCAACCTTTGGTTTTCCCGATCAATCTTTTTTACTTCTTCACTTGTGAAAGAATAATTTCTCCTTCTTCCTTTAGATGGGTGATTGATGTTTAGTTTCTGATCTTTTTTCTCCAACTGCAGGAAAGCTTTAAAATGGAATAAAGTAAAATACTCAGGTTAAAAACCCAAACTAAGCACAAATCTTGCATTCTATTATTGGGATTTATTTATAGACCTGAAAAACCAAGGTATGTTTCACCTCCCACCATCTGAATTCCAAATTTAGGCATTTCAGAGTTTTTCAGTGATATTCAGTTGTCTTCAGTACATTGATTTTAAAAAAGTTTCACCACAAAAAAAAAAAAATCAAGTCTCATTTTGGCTTTAGTTAAAACCCATCTGCTTCCTTCTCACCAGGAATCCCCCTCCTCTCTGTTTATGACCAGTAATCAAGAGGAATTGAACAGCTGCAGCAAATAACTGAGCAGCACAAAGGACTCAGCAATATGCACACAGCTTACATTTGTAAGCATTTGTGTAGAATCAGAATATAAATCGGCCTTACGTGCATAGTTGTTCCTTCTGCATAGTCAGTATTCCTCATCCCCCCCTTCTACTCTGATCACTCCTGAGCTCTACCTTTACCTCTAACTTTTACACTGACACAACATGCTCCAACTTCCATCCTCAAATATTTCTACTTTAGTTACCATGGTACCGGCAATCAGCGCAGACAATTATACTTATATGTGAATGGAGCTAACATTACGCAGCACTAAAGCAACGCTGAACAATCACCATCACAGTGCTATCATTTATGGCACCTATATAGGCATCAGAGAAATTTTCTAAGTCATAGAAAACACAGCTCAGGAAGCCAGGACTACAAATAACTTTCAGAACCAAGAATTAAACCGTAAATTAATAGTTAGATGTTTGTACATGGAAAGAGATTTAAGTTTTGCTCCAAAGATATCCAAAATATCTCTCAGCTGAGAGGTGGAACAGAAATGATGTTTCAGACAGGAAACTGACACTGGGGAAGCATGTCTCAGAGATACAACATGCATTTCCTGAAGTGATTTTGTTGACCCTTTGCTCCAAGTAACCCTGCATCATGTTGGTGTAGGAATTGTAAAGGGAAAGATGAAAATTAAATTTAACTGATGGAGAGAAATGAGTGAGCATGCATAAGACAAGAAAAATTACTGGGGCATGGCAATTTAAACCAGTAAAAAACAACAGACCAAGCTATGAGGTTGCAAGACAAAAGAACAAAGAATGCACACTTGAAAATACACAGCAAGACAGGCCTTCACAATTGCAAGGTAATATAACTGGAAAGTCTCACTCTCAGCCAGAGCCAGCTATGTTTATTATAGTTCACTGGAGCTTTGCTACTGACCTACTTCTAAGCCTTTGCTTCCTAAAGCTCTGCAGCACATCTTCCGGCAACTGCTTTATGAGTTTCGCTGTCATGATATCACCCCATCAAACCACTGCATTACCTATGTTACAGGAATGGCAGTACCAGCTTACATCTAACAGATTTTTTGATCTCAGACACAGACAAGGAAGCCTTATTCAAGCCGTTCCCACATTCCTCCAATATCACAGTGCCTCCAGAAGATACCACTCACTTTTACCCCTAGAAGCCCAACATACAATAAAAAAAAAAGCATCCAAAGCAGCAGCTCTGAGAAAAATAATGAAATAAAGAACTAACCAAACAAAAAAACACAACAAAGCAAACCCCTCCAAACCAGGCATGCAGTAATATTTCCTTAGCAAACACTTCCAGCATAAGCAGTTTTTTGGCAAGGGATGTCTGAGGCAGCCTTTAATAGCTTAAAAACCTCAAAGAATGATGAGCGTGTTCTTACTTCAAAACAACATTAACACTTCCTTGCAGTATCTCAACTGAGTTTACTCCAGAATTGATTCAAATATTGCTGATGTCTTAGCAATGTTTAGAAACAGTACCTAGAACTTAAAATCCAAACAGTTAATGAATCTCAAAATCCCTCTGGAAATTAGTAAGCTTGCACCATCAGTACAGTAGCCAATATAAGCAAGAAGTGCCCAATGGCAGCTGTTAAACTGTGAGGTTGTTCACTTTAGTGAATAGTTCTGTCAAGAGAAAATGCAAATCACCTCAAAACCAGACACATCGTAAACTAGTGCAGAGCAAGTGTGCCAACCAACACGTTAATAAAGTATAAGTATCTTGAAAAGCATCTTTAAAATTCAGTAAGTTATTCTTAAGGGAAGACTAGAACAGCCATCAACACCATTTGAGGAGACAAACCTGGCATGAGACTCATCTGGATACACCTACAAGGGACAAAAAGAAATGCACAGAAAATAACTAGAGCCACACAATTCACATGATAACATCAAGCTGCAATGTATTTCTCAGTACAAAATAATTATGTCCTTATGGGAACATGCAAAACTAGCACTGCAGAACACAGCTGGGAGAAAGTAATTTGAACAACCATTTCAGGAAGGTACTTATTATATATCATGTTACATAATTGATAATTGTATTATCACAAAGCTATGAAAGACAATTTAATCTTCTGCCTTACATCCATAGCATCTCACAGGTTAAACAAGACTGCACATCAGATGCAAGGCTGTGGCAAAGAATAATTTTTCAACTGAAGTCTTGGCCTCGCTTACTGGCACCAATGCTACTGGTGATGCAGTCTTTTACAAAAGACATTTAAGCTTCTGAGTAACTGTCAGTGCAAATTTCAAACAGCTCTTTCTTCTGTGAGAGGTGTGAACTAGTAAAATTCCATTTAAGGCACTGGCATTCTGAATGAGGACATTTTTAATTAGAAATACAGGTTTCATGTTTTCACTGGTACATGATTGTTTTAATTCTCTATAAGGTAGCTGGAGAGTGCATATTCTTATGATGCAGTTAAGAACTACAACCAGTAAACAGACTAAAAGCGCTTACAGATAAATAAGCATCAAGGTAATTAATTATCTTCTGACTTGCTCATTTTTCTGGAAAAACCCTGTCAACTGTGACTAAATAAAAAAACACCACCAAAAAACCAACAACCCAACAAACCAAACCCAAACAAAAATCAGAGCAAGGGTATGGATCAAACATATCCTCCCAATGCTGGGCAGTAAATGCTTTTAGAAATAATGACTCAAGGAACCCTGCAGCAGTAGCTACACTGTGCTGCTTTGACACTCAGCTCTCCAGAAGGCAGTGGTATGCAACTTCTGCAGCACTAAATACTACTCGGATTCTACCAGAAGCTCTCAGGCAGTTAGTGCGAATGCAAATCTATGTACGTTGCTATCCATTTCTCTACCAGATACTACTGCTTATATGCATGCAAGTAAAGCGTGACAAAAATGTACTAACTTTACTCTCACATTCCCTCAACACACAGACTTTTCTTTTTTCATTCATCTCTTCTTTCTTCCTTCTTTCCTTAGCCTCTCACAAAACTTTTTCCTTTCAATATATTTTCCTTCTACCGTGCCTCATCCAAACCTTTTACCATCTCTCCACAAAGCTTTTCTCATTTGCAGAAGGCATAAAAGAGACTCCAGCCTACTTTCTTCATTATACTGTTCATTCTTAGCCTCACTATTATTTATACTTACTCAGTGTAGAAACTGACTTTAATGCTACCAACAGCTTTCTAACAACTCTTGAGGTTAAGGACTTGCTAACAGTGATAATACTGGATTTATCACAACTCAAAAGACACATTATTAAGTGAAAGAATTGTTCAGATCACCATGAAGGCTCTGCTGTGAACTTACTCAGTGAAGCCTGATCAGAAGACTTCAAAAAACCAGTGACTGATCTCTGCTGAATTACAGAAGAGTCATTAAATTTGCACTAAAAGTTTAGACCAAATACAACATGTGCAGCAGCATGTTTTCTTCAAGGGGACGGAGTTAAAAGATCAATCTGAAACTCTCTAGTTCCTCACAAATTTCATCAGTTCCTCAACTGATCTCTTTACAGTTAACCTGCTGTATGACTTAAGAGCCACATTTGAAATATCACAAGTAGTCCTCTGCAGCAACAGTAGTGCAATACACCAAAACACTGGATCAGATAATATATTAAATGTAATTGGTTTGTTGTTCGCCAATCTGATAAGTTAATAAAATGGAGTTGCGTTTTACTTAGTTCAGTTCTATGTTATGGAAGAATTTAAGCTGCAAACTCCACTTCAAGACAAGCAGTAACCGACTGAAGCCTATCCCTAGACAAACTTTTCCAAACCACTGCAAATGCAACACTGGTCTCCTTAGGAACTGGGCAACATAATAGTTCAAAGTTTAGTACAAAAGAGACAAGCAACAGAATGCATACTATGCCACCTGCTGAAAGAAGATAACTAATACTACAGGGTAAGTGCTTGTTCCTAATAAAAAAAAAACAGAAGGCAGGGGGCATCCATGAAAACACTACTCCTTAAATAATGCTCGAATAAACCACAGTAGCAGTATAACGAAGCAGTGAGCAAAAGGTCTTGCAGGTCTTCCTGAAGCAGTGGTGACTCTATTTCTATGTCCAGCATGACCACAGAACTTCACATCCGCAGTAATAGTTTCCAGTACTTCCCAAGTTACCTGGCTGAAAATCTGCCCAAACTGCATTCTGCAAAGCACCACTCATACAGCATCAAATGTCTATTCTCTGCACACATACTATGTCAGAAAACTAGGTAAACCACAGAAGGCATGTGTGTCCAGTATGCACTGAATGTACTCCAGCATTCACTGGCAACAACACTGCTTTCATGACAAAGGCAGCAGGCATCTACATGTGGTCAGTAAAGCCTACAAAACCAGGGACAACTCACTATCAACTAACAAAAAAGAATCCAGATCTCATGTAAGAGGTAAATGCATTTATTCTAAATGCTACTAAATATTTCAGTGCAGTTAATGTTATATAACTCAAATATCTGAGTTTCAAAGTTATTTCATTGATTTATTCAACAATGCACCCACACTACTCTTTAATCACACACATAAGTGTTAGAATCATCTATAAGACTATTTTTGCAGCAGCCAATGACATGAGACAACACTACAGTTTAAGGCTGTAATTTAAGTTTGTAAAGAGTTTGTAAGTCTGGAACAACTAAAT